CTTTTAAAGAAGTTTTCACGTGAAACCTTTAATTATTATGTAATTTCGTGAAAACAATATTTTGTAACTAATCATTTAATTTAATTTTAATCATTGTTTTTTTTAAAACATACNATTACGCAGACAAAAATATAATTTCCTTGTAATTATAATCTTCTATTGTTTCTGTTATTAAAATCTTCTCGAAAGGAGAACTGTTACTACTCTAAAAAATTAAAATAATTTCTGATATTCACATTAAAAACTAGACTTTTATTTGTTGACCAATAAATATTGTATGATACGCTGCTGTCTACATGGTCTGGAGGTTTGTCCTAGACTCACAAGTTTATTATGCGTTATAAATGGTATTAAGAAACGTTAGGGGTCCCAAACCTGATATTCCGAACTAGCTTTTGCTTTTGCTTTTAGATAGTAGGATTATTCGTAAACCAGCCACTGTCTGTGTCAGATGGGGTATTATTTCCATTATTATATTACCACAACGTTCTTGTGTTTACTTACTCGTTACATGGAGTTATGTACGTTTCCAAGTTTTTGTCGAGTTAGTATATAAATAATTACATAATATAATACGTATGTAGTTAAACTTTCAAAGAAGTTTCTGCAGTTGGTTTTCAACTAGTGTATTTGAACTTCAAAGTTTTTGTTGTCCGTGTGGGATATCAGAAATTTTTTGTACCGATTTCATCAATGTGTTTGGTGTAAGTACCTGCATGATATCTATTAAAAATGTAACCTAGAAAGTTACCATAAATTATTAATTTTTGTAATTCAGAACTATTTAGATACATATCCGTATATTATCCTACAAAATTTTGACGATTCTCCCATTATATTAATTATTACTGAAATAAGTTATGCACTTGATTGTCATGTTTATACTACATTGATTATTTTTTAAAAAACAAATGCAACATTATTTTTTTCACAATATTTACGATTCTGTGCACCTTTTTTTTTTAAATGGTAATGCTAACTTGCTGGACATAATTTCTTCCACTTTTCAAATCGTAAAGATCTAAAACCGTTCCTTCGTTTTCGTTCAATATTTACAGCATTAAATTGTTGCAGTTTATTGGATGGTTACGAAAATGAATTCTGCTTCTGTCCCTAATTATAATGTAATCGAACTTTATTACATCCTTATAATGATTGCGAAGTCATAGTGACTATTACAATTTAATAGCATTCCTTACTTGATTGATTCGAGTTATTATGCAGTTTCTTGGACAACAGCTTAAAGTTCACGTAATCGGTGTATGTACAAACATATCTATAAACATTTTACTATTATGTTAGATAGATAGTAAAACAAACGTAGCAAAAGTTGTTTATGGTAAAGTCAGTCATTTAAGACAGATACTAATACTGATAGGAATTATCAAACCACTTACATAGGATCATGTTGTTGTCGGTCTGTCTGTCAAGACGATTTTTCTCAGGAACGGCTATCAAATAGCTGGAGTCTGTAGCATTGAACTTCTAAAAATAAATTCAAGTAAGTAGTGCAGCACAGAAAATTCAAAATCCTTCGCAATCGGGCTAGGACAGGCTCAGCCCTTTCACTCACTGATTGATGCTGGTCAATCAAAATGTACAGGATGTTTTCCGTTGGCCTAGAATCTTCAAATTATTCTCGTCAATCCGTTTAATCCTTAATTGTGGTTATTTCCGACTAATCGTTGCAATTTTCTTCATATTTTTCTTGTTTTAATAAATATGTAATATCGTTTTATGGCGTCTACAGAATATAGGGTGCCGGACGTTAAGGTAAAATGCAATTATCGTTTCTAAGTACAATATAATGCTACGTACTTGTGAGTTTTCCCATGGTTTTCAAGTCATACAGTGGTCACAGCCGTTTGTCGTCCTTTGCGATATTAAATACGTGACGTGCATATTTAACACTATTATTTGTATTATAATAAACGTCTGGGTAGTAGTATGTGTTCATGTATCATAATAACCGTTACTATTATTTGTACGTATAATGCATTCATTATGATAAAGTTTTCACAAATTCCTTTTTTAATTGCAAAGCAAAATTTGGTAAAAAGGATGCTTCTTGATACCCTCATGTTAGAACATATTTAAATAAATCTTAATAATATAATTTATTTTTATCAGTTATTTTAAGCAAGCTGATACTTATCAATCAAGTAAATGTATATTACAAATTAATTTGGAGATCACAGCTTACAAATTCGTGAAAGTAAATAATGCAAATAAATGAAACTTCTTCTAGGGTAAGTTCGTTTAATACGAGTTGCTATGTAACAAAATTATTCAACGTATTTCCCCCGCTGTTTGTCCCTATGTATGCTTAGATCTTTAAAACTACGCAACGGATTTTAATGCGGTTTTTTTTAATAGATAGAGTAATTCAAGAGGAAGGTTTATATGTATAATACATGCATAATATAGTAGAGAAACACTGATAATTTTAGAGGTTTCTAATGTGATGTCGTAAATAAACACATTTTTTGCGCTTACATTGCAAACGCTGGCTGAACCCTACGAGATAGATCAAAATAATATACTACAGTATTGTACACCTTAAAAAGGTCTACAAAAAAGTCCGCGATGGTATATGTCTATCTCTTAGGGATAACCCACAATAACCATTTTTTATCCTTTACTTTTTACGAGAAATAATGGCTTATTTACGAAGCGATTTTAAGCAATACAGCATTAATCCTTATCCAATTAAGTACTTTTAAATACATTGTGCATTTAATATAGATCAATATGGCCCTTTACAGCATGTAATTTAAATGAATATTTTCGAAGATATTACAGACTTAAAATGCAGCGACATAGCGGTTGCGGCGGTACCGGCCGGTTTGTATTAACTAATGACAAAAAAGCTGTGATTATTGCATATAAAGACATTCTATAGTATATTTACTGTCAGCATTGCACCCGTGCGAAGCATAGTGTCCAAATAATACCATTAAACCAATTCCTTAACCCCTATGCTGTTATGTTTGTGTGTTTGAAGAAGTTTCACTTCAGTAGCGTGTTGTATAATTACACGTTATATATATTTGTCAATTTTATTCAGTTAAAAAATCTTAGAAATTTCATTAACACAAAAAAGAATGCAACGAGCACATTCTTTTAAAGTCAAATGCCTTCCACATAAAAAATGTTACCTTCGTTTCCGTATCAAGTGGAAATGTTCACTTATCATTAATCTATGCAATTCCATTTTTCCTTTAAGGTTTTATTTCTTTGCGATTATCAAGAAAAAATTAGCATTAATATACCCTCAATGTTAAGCATACCGCCGTTTATGGTAAATTTAAATAAAAATCCCTTTTAGTATTGACGTTTGTTATTTCCATATTTTAATTATGGAGAACCATTGAATTCGATCATCACCTTGATTAACAATTGTTTATATAATCATCTTCCTAACAGCCCGTCCAATCACTTACTCCGTTGTTGTTTTTGTTATCACTCGCGTTTTACATCATGTCTTTATTGTTGTGGGAAAAACATTTATACAATATTAAGTTAGTATTGAAGGAATTGATTCGTTGTGTATGGTCATGTCTCCGGTGTAGTTTGTGTTTTTATTGAATACATTGTACGATAAGCTTATCGAGACACTTGTTTTTATGAAATGCTAATTATGTTTTCACTTTCAGTTGATACGCTTTCGTATGATGAAACACGTTTGTTTTATTATTATTCTTTTTTTTTTTTAATTCACAAGCATAGTAAATCACTATTTATTTCTTCAAAGTTATTGTTTTTTTTCTTAATAAGGTGTGGTATCGTAATAAAACGTACAAATTGACTCATTTTATGTCCAGGTATGTAAATTTTGTTTTTTTTTTATAGTAATTAAAAGTTCACTGTCTTTTTGACATTGAATTTATTGTTTATTTCAAACAACTCTACTGACATTTAAATTCCAATTATTTTCATTGATGTGATTCAAATGAGCCATTCAGGTTTGTTGGAACGAGGAATATTACTAATCATTGTCATAGTAATCGATCGGAAGCTTAATTTATTTAATTTATTAATAATAATTGTCCTGCAGTAACCTTGAACTAAAATTTTACTAAGTAGATAATATAAAAATTTTCAAGATATATAAAAATATTCATAGGACTTGTGGATTTAGACAATGTACTTGAAAATGTTGGGATGAGTTACAAAGAGAGATAGAAGGGTAATACTTACAATTACTTTGTATAAAGAACAACAGGCAGTTATAGAGATAGGATTGCACCGTGGAGAAGTAAATATTAGGAAGGGATTCCCGACAAGGATGCACACTGTCACCACTACTTTTTAATCTATCAACATCATTAAAGGCAATACNTGGTAGCCAAGCATTCATGGGAAATTTTATTCGTAATATTTTATTACATGTACATAGGTAAAAATTGATTGGCAAAAGATGTTTATAATCCGCCTGTAATATCCGTGGCGACCCTTTCTTATATATTGCTGTTTAATATATTTATTTATTGTCTCAGATATCAGACAACCTGAACATTTATCTGATCGTTTTTCTAGGGTATTAATTTTTGTACTTACTACGATGTCTTACTAATATTATCAAGTTCACGATCGACAACATTTAAAATCGGATAAGTATGTACCCTTATACCTATCAGGAAGTTTACCAGTTTAAGACATCATCTTACTGGTATGTAAAACATTTGCCAAGCCATTAACAATAACGCTTTTATTTCATTTTTAATTACCAACAAATGTTTCGTTACATTATAACATTGAGATCTAATTTACTTTAAGTATACTTAAGTTTCTGTATCTTCAGTTAGCAGCTCTTTAGTCACTAGAATTTTTCGAAAAGAAGTTGAAATATTAATTAAGTTAATGTAATAAATATGAATTGTCATCCCATTATGTGGACGACGAGTGAAATTTTCTTTTCGAAAAATTTTCTTTTCATTTGGCGTTTATTACATTATTGAGAATGGAGTTAATTTATGTTGATCTTCTTCCACAAATAGGTAAGACATGTGATATCCCAAGCAACACAAGAAACGTACGTGTGTTTATGGAATGGGTGTAAAGTGCATGGTCGCACTTCTTGTTCCCGGTCATGGTTAGAACGTCATGTTCTTGCCCATGCTGGTACCAAACCTTTTCGATGTATAGTCGAAGGATGTGGCATGCGATTCAACTCACAAGTGAGTATTTATTGAAAAAAATTATTATTCAATTTCTGCTTCCTTGAGTTGTATCAAAACATTGTTAACTTTTGTATTTGTTACAGATTTCGTTAGAACGGCACGTCAACAACCATTTTAACAGCGATGGATCTCAAAATGGTACTGCAAAGAAGAGCGTGGAAAATGGTTCGGCGAAATTGTTCAAGAGGAACGGGAAGAAGATTCGATTCAGAAGACAACCCTGGTCAGGTAATAAATCAAAAGGAAAAGTTTAAAGGTAAAAGCAATGAAACGGGACTGCTCTGTTTATTTCAGCGCGAATGTTTGATTTCTTCGATTCTGGGATTATGGAAGGACTTCAGGATCGTCTGCTAAGGATGACTGAAAAGCGAACTATGGGACAGATAGAGGGAGTCTCAGGGGATGTTATGATGCTTCGAGGACAGGTGCTTGCAACAAGGGTGCAGAAGAATGGACAGAAACAACTTCTAGTCAAATGGCACCCTGCTGACATGTAAGTATTAACCCATTTTTTTAAATAATTCTTTACTCGTTATAACTGTGTCTAAAATGTAAAATATCAACTCAAATGTGAAAATGTCGTTTTCCTTTTCAAAAAAATTAAAAAAAATTGTTATGTTAACTAACGTATTATCACATTTTGCAGTTTTTATTGTGTAGTTTTGTAATCACCCATCACCTATTTATAAGCGAAAATTAATAAATTTTGGCAAGTTTATAAATTTATGTTGGGTTACCAAAAAATTAAATTACTATTATGTGAGCATATTAGTAACACTGAAGCACAAGAAGTGTACTTAATGCAAAGTCTGATTGCATGATATCAAGAGAACAAAAACTGAATTTACTTTCTTTGAAGACGCCTATTTCTTCCTTAAAAAAAATTGGATTACAGTAGTAATATTTAATCTGATAATTTCGATTAAAAGAAAACGGTACACGTCTTTTGCAGTACTCCAGATGAGTGGGTTAATGAAAATGAATATAGCTCGTCGAAAACTGTTTCGATCCGTTCGTTGGAGCCGTCTTCGGTGGATAATTTAAAACCCATTTTGTTTCCTTCGCTTCGAAATAGTCAACAAGAAGAACAACAACAACCAAAAAGGCTCAAGCATCAGCGCAAACCTAAAAAAAATACGTGATAAACAAGCAAAAATTCTCAGACAAACACTTTGTGATCTGTTCGAGCAAGCGCAAAAAGAAACAAATTGAACACATCACACAGAGTTTTGTAAAACTGGAGAAGAGAGAAGACAAAAAAGTACAGATGAATGATAGCTGATTATTATGATAAGGTAAGAGAGAAGCGCATAGTATTGTATATTTCGCATTATTGATTGTGGAGTCTTTCACTGTGTACAGTATAGAGTGTATGTATTGTAAGTAAAACGTAAGCTAAGTTCTCTTCGTCGCAGACGTACGGGAACTTGTTTAAATAGTTGCAACCAGCCCTGAGACACTGCCATGTCACTGGTTAAATTCTAGTTATTAGAATAGACTAGCTAAATTTTTTAATACATAATGTAGTTCGTGTGATTTCCTCATTCGTATTTTATCATTTGTTTCCCATTTCGTCTCATTTTGATCATACTGTAACGGTTAACTATAATAATTCACGGTATTATTGTTATGCAAGCCGTTTATAATTTAAGTTATTGTAATTATTAAGTAATTAATATCTTCAACGTCGTCGTCATCATCGATATCATTATGATTGTAATCGTAAGGTAATTTTTGTCGATCGTTATCAGCGTAATTAACAGAAAGGTGGACTCAAAAGGAAACATCAAAAATCGGCATTCGACATTCCTCCTTGTGTGTTCTTATTATTTTTTTATGTAACTTGAAATTTGCAAATGCGGGAGTACATGCACTCAGAAAAGTTATTCGCGGTTTCTCATTATCAAACATTCAATGAGAAATTAATTTTCCCAAAACGCCTAAAACTCACGTCTGTGGTGCCCTTCCTTCCTAAATTAACATTAAATTTGTGCATTTCTTTCGATCACAGTTGTTCTAAATCATGCATTTCAAGTGATTTTCTTAATTGTGATAATTAAAACTTCATTTGACTACATTTTAAGAAAAGAATTTATAACTTCAATCAGTAATTTATTTGAAATAAATGCAGTGTAAAAGTAATACATATGACAGGGTATGTATACAAATATAAATTGCTGAAAAGCACCGTATAACGGTGAGCCTGCGAACTAAGTCTCATGTGCAGCGCAGTCTATCGTCAAAGTCAAAACTAAACATAGGAGCAGCGTCGTGTAGCGAAAAGGTCGTCAACTTAAACGTATAATTTTCACATTTTGAATTATAAGGAGATACAATTTTGGCATTTTTAATTTCCGGCTTTAATGTCGCTTTCTGCATTTAATATATTTTTTCCGTTTTACACAGACGTTTTGAATATCGAACATTAAAGTCATTTCCTGAATTTAAAGAAATATAATTTTCGCATTTTGAATTTCAAGTTACTGCTTTCAGTTGCTATTGATATACATAAGTGCAATTTCGTAAATTGAAATTGGCATGAATCTTACTAGTAAAGAAGGACTTGCTCTTGTGCGTGTGTAAGATAAAGGCCAATTTAGAATTTACAAAATTGCTAATTTTAATTAAAACTGTGTGATTTTTGTGTAGATACTAAATGTGTTCTAGTAAATTTAATTTGTAATGGTAGTGATGTAAGAGAAATTACACTGCCAGGTTACTGCCACAAACAGTGCTTACTACTTAAAAAAAGAACTAGGAAATAAAAAAACGCTAGTATCATGCGAAGTAAAGTTTCGGTGCCATTTTTTTTTTTAATTATATGACATTTACAAAGGTCAGTTAAAGTGAAAAATTCATGAACCATGCAATGTTTTGTTTGTTATTAATTTAGTATTTATTCGGTGTTCAAGTAAGTGAAATCCATTCTAGATAATTTTTTTGAAATGATCTCGTCGTGTTTTTCGTATATTTTATTACATGTACATAGGTAAAAATTGATTGGCAAAAGATGTTTATAATCCGCCTGTAATATCCGTGGCGACCCTTTCTTACATATTGCTGTTTAATATATTTATTTATTGTCTCAGATATCAGACAACCTGAACATTTATCTGATCGTTTTTCTAGGGTATTAATTTTTGTACTTACTTACTACGATGTCTTATTAATATTATCAAGTTCACGATCGACAACATTTAAAATCGGATAAGTATGTACCCTTATACCTATCAGGAAGTTTACCAGTTTAAGACATCATCTTACTGGTATGTAAAACATTTGCCAAGCCATTAACAATAACGCTTTTATTTCATTTTTAATTACCAACAAATGTTTCGTTACATTATAACATTGAAATCTAATTTACTTTAAGTATACTTAAGTTTCTGTATCTTCAGTTAGCAGCTCTTTAGTCACTAGAATTTTTCGAAAAGAAGTTGAAATATTAATTAAGTTAATGTAATAAATATGAATTGTCATCCCATTATGTGGACGACGAGTGAAATTTTCTTTTCGAAAAATTTTCTTTTCATTTGGCGTTTATTACATTATTGAGAATGGAGTTAATTTA